TTGTGCAAAATTGCGGGTAGCGGCGCGTTCGGTCATGCTGTTTCCTGCTTCCAAAGCTGCCATTCCCTTCTCTTTCAGCAGATGGCGCAAGGATCATCTATATACGTGTTTTGTGTGTGTGTGCAAATTATTACTACGATCACGTCATGACATGCCAATATTATACAGAAGCAATGGTAAATGCTAACGTTTTGAAAAGTGGATAATTAATATACACATTTATGTTTCACGCCCATGTACATAACTAATATTATTCTGATAGTTTGTGTGTAGACTATGGTAAACTGTATCCGATCATTCGTTTTCCTGTATGCACCAAAAATTGAAAACAGGGCTGATTTCAGCATGCATTTTTGAGGATACCCTGACATGCTCTTACTTTTCTGTATATTTCAGCAACACATTTTGTAAAAACTGATTTTTAAAACATGCTAGAATAATGTAAAAAATCACAAATTGGTCAATAGCCAGGATACTTTGGAACACAGACACAAGTGGCACAAGTGTTGGCTATATAAATGTATTAAAATCATTCACAAATTCCTTTCAGTTTAATAAATAGAGAGCTATTAATTATTTCTTATTGGCACATCAATTGCGAATCGCGCTTGAGGGCGTGTCGATCGGTAGAACGCGATCAAGAAACGTATAAGCTGATTATTTTAATTATTTCATATAAAAGCGGACGTTTGTGTTTGTTGAGAGCGGGTATATTTCAAAAAAGACACAATAAGGTTTGTAATGATATTTTCCTTAAGTGTGTCTGACTTAAACAATCAGAGTTATTTATGTTGTTGTCCTGCACTTCAGAAAATCTGCCATCGGAGAGAGAGAAAAAATAAAGTAGCATGTTGTGACTTATTGTGTTATTTGTGAGATGTTATTTTTAAATTAATTTATTTATTTTACGCATTTTTAAGTGGACAGATGAAAAAATTCCGACTGATTTTTGAGCATGTGCAACAAGCACTGACAGAAATATATTGATGTTAGTTTCACGCATTCAGAAACATTTTCTAAGTCATTTCTAATATCTAACTAACATTTTCTAACATCATTTGAGGGCAATTGGCAGGTGATAATGGGCAGGTGATAATGACAGCATGGGCGGAGCTGTTGAATAACAGACGAGAAATGCTCCCATGTACACAGGCACAGTCTGAAAGATTTTCCACCAAGGTGCTGAAGGCTGGAAAACTCACACTAACAATATACCAGGCAAAACCAAAGAAAAATGTATACTTTTCCTGAAACTCCTTCCCCGTCTGCGATGTTCAGTGGTGAGATGAGAAAGTTCAGGGAACAAAACTTGTTACATCTGCCAGAAATGTAAGAGATTTGTCTGTGGCAAATGCTCCAAGAATGCACCTCCCTGAGCAAAATTTACTATTTTGAAGGGAACTTGACTGGAGTTATTCAGCAAATCAAGCTGCAAGAAAGTACTTCTTCACTGTATCAAGTCGGCAGATAGTCAGGGAACAAAACTTATGACATCTGCCAGAAATGTAATCCAAATAAAAAGTAAGCCTTTGAAAGACGATAAAGCCACTTGTAAAACATCAGCCTACGTTGAAGGGAACTTCTGCATTCCTGAGTCATTCAAATTAACAATAGACTGTGTCACTCTGTTGAGTGGGGGTTGGGAGGTGTTACACGTCGGCTATTCGGCAGACTAGGTGTCGAGCCTTGATTGTGCTTTCCCCGTCCATGAGTGTAATCGATGTAATTTTCTCATACCGTCAAATAGAGTGCAAAGCCTTCATATATTATAGATCATATAGATTATTCAGTATAATGCCTAAATAAATTTCTTCATCCAATTTCCTCAAAGTTCTCTGAAATGGGTGAATCTGAATACAAAAGAAAGTTCTGACAAACCTTCACATTATCCAAGACATAAAATAAAGACTAAAAACAAATACTATGAAACTAGTATTTTTCAGATTATTTTCTCATTCGACTCAGAGACTATCAACATAGAAATGAATGACTCACTTGGCCGAACGCACTCTGATCTTATAACCAAATTATTTTCTTAGTGCAAGAGGCTCCATCTAGCGATAATTATGTATCAGTAACAGTGTCCCTGTCTAAAGACTTAGCGGTCATTTGACCGCCCAACCACGCTTTAAGTAGGTCAAACCAGTGCGCCGCTTCTAGTGTTAACTCGGACCTCCAGCAGAACTCCAACTGCATACCGTGGGAGGTTGGGGACATTAAGTCTTAATGGACACTGTTCCGGACCTCCACTGTGGAAGCGGCCGTACAGAGCTATGGCTGCAGGGTGGTCGGTGCCAGTCGTGGTGGAAACCCTCGTACCCGATGGTGGACACCAGAGGTGAGGGGGGCTGTCAAGCTAAAGAAGGCCTACTGGGAATTATTAGCCTGGGGGGAGGGGCTTTGGGAGTATGAGGTTCAGGGCCCACTACTGTGAGCGATTCGATTCCTATATGAACGGAGCATAAGCTTGGTCCGCATTGCCGGTAATAAGTTGGACGTGTTCCCAGTGCGGGTTGGGCTCCGCCAGGGCTGCCCTTTGTCATCAGTCCTGTTTATAATATTTATGGACAGGAATTCTAGGCACAGCCAAGGTGTTGAGGGCGTCCAATTTGGTGGCCTCAGGATTGCGTTGCTGCCTTTTACGGATGACGTTGTCCTGTTGGCTTTATCTGCTGGGGAC